ATTCTCTTTAACGTATGTTAGCGATACACAGTCTTGTACTCTATTGATCTGGTTCAGGATTTCTATGGCGTCTGTCGGTTTATCACAAATGATTATTGTGCCATGCACAGATCTCTTATAAAAATAAACTTTTCCAGTGACATCCTCCACTAGGTTCTCAACATGGGACATGTATATATCAGCTAACAATAGACCTAGGGGCCTCCCATAGCAACACCATCGATCTGGCGAAAATACTCGCCCTCAAATGTAAACTTACTATTGTTAGTACATAGAAGCAGTAACTCTTTTGAATAAGATATTGACACTGGTAATAGGAAATTGTTGTCAGAGATGTAATCACATAAAAAATATCAACCGTCTATAAAAGAGCTACATTTGTAAATAAAGAATCAACATCTAGGAAAACATGGTTTTGTCATTATATCAACGTTATCAAGACAATCAATTAACTCAAAAGAATCCTTCAATGTGAACTTACAGAAGCTTCTTCTAGTAGGCTCTTACATTCCCACTAGCCACTGTGCAAGTTTGTGAGCTGAAAATCTGCACATTGATATTATGAGGCCGAGAGGAATGTTATGTTTATGCGTTTTAGGAAGACCATATATAAGTGGTAATTAGGACTCCGTGGGCTTTATTCAATTCAATTTCTCTCTGTTAATCGCATTCATATTTAAAAGCACTACTAGATTATTTGTCCCCATATTTTGTACATTCTTCACATCTTCCAGACTGCAGTCTCTCGTAAAATTATCATTATTTCAAAGAATGGATAACATTTTACTTTTGTATTCAATTTGTACATTATAACTGAATCAGAACCTTTATCTGGTCTGAGGATAATGACGTCATTATTATGTTTTACTTCTTTTAGAGCTTCAAAGTGATCAGATGTTAGGAGACTTTTCTGAATATTACGACTATTGCAGAAGTGGTGAGCAATGCCAACTAACTTTCCTTTGAACAAATCATGATGATCTTCAGAAACGGGACCAAGAGGGTTCAACTGATCATATAGATTTTCAAATTGTGCATGTACTTCGAGTTCTGAGAAATACTTTTCAGAAACGCAAAATTTAGGTCTGAGAGATAAGGCTTGTTTCTGCAGTGACGGCAGTGTAACAGAAGATAGGTTGATGACGTATTTCTATGGATTTACACGGGGAAAGAGTTACAATTGTGTTATCGTTAAGTGATTTCCGTAGCTGGCTGCAACAACAAATAAAATCGCCAGATACAATTGATCCCGAAAAAAGATGTCAACCATCATCTACAGCGAAGCACATTATAGAGACGGGTTATAAGGTTGATTTCAACAATGCTTTTAGGTACATATGTAAAACAAGATTGGGTCACATACTTAAATTCGTTGAAGCATTGACCATAAGACGACTTAAACCTATCTCATATGTCTAAAAGTTATTTGTCATTACTTTGAACATGCCTTGGTTATCCAATTTGGAACCAGGGATCAATTTACTTCATAATATTTTCAACCCCTTATTTACTTTGTTTTTTCTTTCTTACTCACACATTTGCGTCATCCCCCTGCCCATTGCTTGTGACCTTGGACTTTACACAATCTGACCTGTATTGCAGTGACTCATGCCTTCTTGCTTTCTAAAAAATCTGTACATGACAAGTACGTGTGTGATAAGAATGTCCGAAATGTGTTGCGTAAATACATTACACTTTTCAGATAAACTACGTTTTCTTATTGTGTTGCCGAAATTCGTAAAAGGAACTAATCCCTTTAAAAATAAACTGTCAGAAGTTCGACGAATAAAATGAAGAATGTTCATGAATTGTTAGAAGTTATAATTAATGGCTGACTGTATCATGTCACAGTAGCAGAATGGCCTACGAGCCAGCTTGACTTTTTAGCTGGAAGGCCCTCGGTTCGAAAACTGGCGGTGGGCGCATACTTCGAATGGGTGCCAAAACACTAGGACGAAATGGTTGTCCAGTATTCCCTGCTGGTTTCCAACGCTTTTCTAAATGATATCAATTCACAGTTCAGCAGGAAAAAATTCGCTTTCTCCTGTATATTCATTGAAGGGATTAGTGAAACACAATTAGGAAATGTAATGAACGCGACTAAAAACCAATTGCTTTTGAACATGGAAACTATAATAAAAACCCAGTGTGACAGGAATGTGGACCTGATCTTCTTTTCATTTCAGTTGTACGATTCTAAGTCCTGTCAATGGTGTTACGTCAGTCAAAATAATCGAATAACTTTAACTCCATCACTACTACATGATAAGTGTTTGTGTATTGTGTAAATTTTGTTGGAAGCGCTTGATTGATATGAACAACAGAAAGTGCCAATGAAATTGTCTGCAAACATTCTTTTCCTTGTACTGTGGTCAAGATTTGACCGGATCATTGCAAAATAGTTTAGCGCCGAGTGAGAAGTAGACATAAAATCGACTTTGAGAGGACTAAGGTTCTACAGCATGGTTTTGGTTCGTATAAAGATACACTGACTGCAGAAGCCCTACATATATTTGTTAATCCCAACAGTTTGAACAGACGTGAAGGTGTATTGTTAGCTGATGCGTGGCAAATCCTGACTAATAAATAAAATTGGATATGTATTACCAATAGTCATACTTGGTCCAGTTCCCGATTCTCTAACAAATGTTTTATGGCTGTTCACCCACCCACACACACCATTGTATACTGCATATACACATATATTTTAACATAAGTAGACTAATTTTGAAAGTCTGAGGTAACATTTTGAGCACAGTTCATACAATTTTTGTTTATTATACCTGTTGATATCTGTTCCAATTTTAATATGACAGGACAAACAATTAAAAAAAGAGATGTCCTTTTATATATAAACATACAATTTTATTTATTTATTATACACATGTTGATGCCTATTTTATGCTTCATGGTTGGACAAAGTTTCAAAAACAAGAGATGTTTCTTTTATGTATAAACCTCTGTTATGTTAATTTCGATTAATTTCCATGAAGAAGTTCGGACCAGATTACCGAACGAAACGTTGGAATTAATCATTTCAATTTCGCTGAGATTTTACAAATATAACTTTTACAAATTCTTTCCCTTCCTATGAAAAATCCACTTATGAGAACATGCATTCACGCGATTTTTGAGCACAGGAAAAATATGGATGAAATTAGTAATCATTCTCTGCTTTTTATTGGAACCAAAGAGGGGCTTAAATTTGAGGGTGCGACAATTATAATTTGAAGATCAGTAGAGATTTTTGACATCTGGATGATTATATGGTGGGTGGCTATTATAAAACTACAGAATACTCATCCAGTCTGTATGTTCAACATCGACAGACTGAGGCCATATCGAAGTATATTTCAAATCACACGGTCAACATAACTGCTGAAAATCGGACTGAATGCGATTTAGATGGGACTGACAATGATATTGACTGGCTTAATGACAGTGGGTTCCATTTCTGCTCGCAGTGGATTCGATGGTAGCATTTCTGACACGACACATCTCACATTCAGATACACACACAGACATTGACGCGGAAATTCATTTCGCACAGGAATACAAATATCAAGTACTGATATGATTTGAGAAATGCCTTAATAGAGTGGAAGACCGACTGACGTGAGCAGAAATGTAGGATGAGTGAAGTGGTAATCAGATTGAGAATGTAAAATATTTTAGATAACGAAAGCATTTGAAAAGACGATTTGCTTGACAATCTTGTGTGTCAGTCTAATTGTTAGTGTCAATTTGATTAGAGAGAATATTGGACAGTCCAACGACGACACAGTTTTGATTCAACGCGACGCTACCAGTCTACATGTTCAGTTTCTGTAAAGCTCAGCGCTGGTTTCGCGAACTTTTTGTTGGCAGTCGTATCTGACATCGTTTCGCCTTTACAATACTGAATTTAATGCCTTTCTCAAGCAAATCTTTGTTTATTCGAAAATAATTGTTTTTGAGGACGATATGAAATAACCTTACACACAGATTACTTCGTGCTCTAATATTTCACTGTGCATAGTATCAATGATACGCTATTTTAGTAAGTTTTGTTGCATCGGAGTAGTTTCAAACTAAGAATCTGTACTCTGTCGATGATAGGTGATTTGATTGTACCCAGAAATATTCAAGTAAATAGGATTCGGTAGAATTGCAGATAACGTGCACAGGAAAAGTAGGTTACAATCAGACAGAAGATAATGCGGGCAGTACTTCATTTCATTTCACAGACGTGCTTTCCAACAGTGGCATTGTGTTGATCCGCCAAAAATCGTCCACTTGCTGATCTGCTTGTCCTACTTGTTCTTCGTATTCATAACTGAATTAGGACCACTCATATTGCACACATAAGGACATTCTAATGACTCGTGTTTGTGAATTTCCCTTCTTTCCTCATTACAATCTGTTATTTGTTGTGTGATTTTACACTTTGAGAAGGACATCGCTGAAGCGAGTACTGATTTTTCGGAAATGCACGTAAGTGAAAACAGTTACTTTGAGGCGACCAGCGGTAAAGTTTTGGAGTCAATAAGATTCACTGAAATGTCAGATGTGTTGACCCACAGATTATAATGCGAAATTTCTGACAACCCGACTCAACAATGAACACATGCAACCTACGTTTCAAATATCTGGAGACTGGAGAAATACTGGCTGTTTCAGATTTATCTCATCAATTAGTCTGATAGATATTCAGCATGCTTACTGAGCCCATAATGGAGGCAACGCGTTATTCAGTTCGCGAATAGACGTTTAAACACACACACTCACTCACAATCACTTTAAAAACACACAAGCATCTATTTTCATCGGGATCTGCAGTGCGTCACAACGACAGCCATACATATTCGAACTAGTCGACTGATACCAGAGATCTCAGTTAGAAAATACAGAACGGAATATGAATTTTCAGCATTTATTGTGAATATCTTTAAACACACATGTCAATCATGCCCATTCCTATCCATCCATTTTATCACTCAACCTCCGTCCACACCACACTTCTATTCTTTCTTCGTCTTTGCATCTTTCACCTCCTTGATGTCCTTCTTCAAATTTTGAATCTTCTTCTCAATCTTCTTCAGATCAGGACGTCTGCAGGCACTGGAAGAGGACAAAAACACGAGACATATGCAAGTCCATGCATTGGGAACACATCAAGTTATGTGTATAACTATATCTGTTGAGAGATTAAGTTCAATGTACTGCCTAATGCACAGTAAATATCAATGAGACACAAACAGACCTTGGAAAATTCCACATGTTTTTGTGTGGTGCTTTTGATTAATCCGAGAGAGCCTCTTTTTCTCGATCACTGTGCTAGTAAACCTCTTATAAATGAATGAATGCGTGAATGGTTGTCTTATTTCCACTGGGAAATACTTGTTTAAGCATGTTTGATTGTGATCAGTATTTGTGGAGCGTGGATGTTCCCACAAATATCGAAGTTACCATTGGTGTTTCGAGTAGTGTGAACCTGGTGACCAGCTCATTTGTTGTCCGAATGAACATTCGACCAAGTGCATATATAACACTGATTCGATCGATTCACGACATGAATGGTAGACATCACAGTCACCTGTTCACCCACTGAATAACGACTCACGGTCAACAGATCCATCACTGAAATACTTCAGAATCAATAAGCATATATTCTGAAGGCACCACTATAGAATGAGACCTAACTCATGGATATCTTCTGAGCCACTTCTTGAGGACCAGGTATTCTCAAAACATCACACAAGTAGTGTCTCATCGCTCTGCTGCTGACAGCCTGTGATACTGGTGACGAGTATTATGGAATGAAGTGTGCATGCGAGTGTGCAATTTCATAAAACTGATGAACAAGACATGCAGTCATCTGTCATCAGCTACACAAATACGTACGTGTCCACCTGTCGAGATCCCTTCTTCGCAGACAACTCCTCAGCAGTCGGTTTCGACAGATCAAAGTTTGTCACACACAGACCAGACTTCACCTTCACCACTCCTTTCTGGTTTTTTCCCACAGTCAATCCTCCATACTTGATATTCCATGATCCTGAAATGAAAACAGACTAGGTATTTATTACGGACAATTTGAATTGTTTCAATTAAAAATAGATTTACTACATCAAAGGAAATATTTTTTTATCGCCGACAACAATCAATTTACATCTTCTCTCAGCCATAATAAGCGATGTCAACGCACATTTTTCAATTGAGACAAGGGAAGTAGTGCGTAATTCACCGTCATCAGTGTTACACCTCTAGGTTTGTTGCATGTGTTCATTGAGACAGTAAGTCCATTCTTCTCTCTGCTAAGTTAAGCTATGTCGATCCAATGAGACAAAACTGACAACTGACGTGTTGCTACCAGTTAGAAGAACCAGTGTTTTGTTCATAAATTCCACGTTCATTTATAGCAGAAATACACAGAATAGTGATAAAGCACAGGATATCACTTCCCAATTTTACTCACGAGTATCTTCCATTTATGTAGATAGTTTAGGTAAAATTACTTTTATGCTAGGACAAACGAGGTATAAACACACTTTGCAAACATTACTTAAAATCAGCAACTATATGAAGGTTGCAGTTTCCTGTGTTCACAGTGATTCTTCAAACATAATGTCTCTTGTTCTTCGACGAATAATATGCGTGCTTTTTTAGTGGTGCTTATTCACCCCCCGAATCGCTTTACTTTAACTTTTCCTCTTTCCTATTCCTTAGTCAAGCCAATTCGTATCGGTTTGTCAAATACTCAGCTCGCGGTGTTTCACCTGATGTCTGACCCATAATCAGCTGTGTATTTGTACACTACATCTCTACAAGTGTTTTATAAATTGACTAGTGTGTTGATGAAGAATTCTATTGTTCATCAATCAGATGTCATGTCGTCAAATAATCAGTGTGAGAAATGTAATTTTAATGAAATAAGTGTGAGATGAGACTATATCCCGTAGTCGTTTGTCTACATCTTTTAAGTGGTCATCAGTGCTGCTTTGAGACTGTGTGTTTGTCATCATACGTGATTTTGCAATACCTTCGTCTATCTTTATGTGCGTATAGGTAATAATGTTAAACGCTGAATCAAACTCAATGCTGAGAAGTGAATGAAGTGGTAACTGGCATCAAAATGAACAACAAGCAAATGAGTTCACACGACTTACCATCCTCATCAAAGTGCAGTGGGAGTTTCTCAGATTTCTTGTAAGGCTTCATTTCGACGAGGTGTGGGAGCAGAACACAAGCCATGACAATGTATAGAATCGAAGAATGTGTCATAATTGGAAGCCTGTGAAATCAAATAGGACAAACGAAGAATAAATTCTCTTCTGAGTGTGGCTCAGTTAACGAATAAACTAAAGTTGATTGATGAGAATGGTGATCATTGGAAGTGATGCACACGTTGACAAGTGCAGTTATCGATGCCTAACATTTAGAAAGAATTACAGAAAACCACTGTGGTATTCGTGAAATACATGTAAGTCTACTAAGGAGCAGTCACATATTGTGGTAGGTGAGCCAGACATAGATGAAATTGGATTGTTTAACTTACAAGTTGTTTCTAGGTTACTGGTTAGCTGAATAGTGTTCCACTTATGCACATATTTATACATGAATGTGAACGTGAGCTAAATGTCATGCCACATGTTCAGAGGTCATGTTTGTCATGTAATTCCATGTAATCTGTCAGCATTTTAGCAGCTTTTAGTAGACCACATGATATAATGTCATTATTGAGTACTGGCTGACCTCGTTGAATGCTTCACACATTGATGCGCAAGATAAGTGGGTTTAATAATTCTCCTATTTCACTTTATTTTAGCGATAGTTATTGTTATTCTTATAATTGATTTAATCACTGATCTTTGATTCTCTCTAGTGATGAATTCGACCTGGAATTTTTTTATTAACTTGAATGCTTGATTGAATTCTTTCCTGCATATTGTCTTGCTCTCCCACCAGTTTAGGTATGAGATTTCTGTGTTGACTGACCTTTGGACACATCTCCGTTTTTTTTCCATGCATTCTGTTCTCGTCCTGTGTTCAGGAAAATCGAGAAGATAATTGCTTTCGTGGAGTGAAAATTCTGCCGATTTTATACGCCTGTATTTTCGCGAAGTCTGAGACTGATATGACTCGCGGTGTTTGCAGTTAAATGAATTAGGTGAATAATTTTGCAGTTTCTTCTTTTTGTCACAGTGTATCCCAAGTAATTCGTTATATAATTTGGGGATTTATGAACTTCGCCTCCGTCAAATGACATGTAGTGTATCAGTGATGAGTGGATTCTGCTGTTGTAGGCTTATGTGTATGTGAACAAAGAAAGAAGAAACATTGGCGCAGAATAATCTGGATCCATTTTATTTCATTGGTTCTAATCAGTTGCGTACAACCTTTGTCCATTTGCAAGCATATTTGCAGAGCGTCATAGTAAAATAAGGCGTTGCGATTTACAGGGTCTCTAAAGTGTTACGACATATGTATATCTTGTTAGAGGGAAGTTTCTTGAAAAAACTAGTTAACAGTTGTGTTGTTAAGGTGGTAACAAAAGACAATTAGCAATAGTTACGTAATTGGATAAGAGAAGATCAAAATTTAAAAATTTCGGTGCACATGAGGTCAGATGAGAGGTTGATGATGTGATACAGTGAGCAGAACTCAGAAGATTAAGAAAAATGATCTCTTAAGACAGTCAAGCGAAAAAAATAAAGGGGAAGGGGAGTGAAAAGATAAGTTAACAAAATTAGAAAACAAATAGTTAATAAGAGGTGAGTCACGAGGGTAATTGAAGTCCAACAACGGATTCTTTTTGAACACATAAGTCAGGCTTCAATCGTTTTATTACTGTAGCTTCAGCAAACCTGAGAAGACTTGAGGTACTTTGTTTGTTAATTATTTTTGAATGATTCTACTCGGTGTCCTGTGTCAATCAGGTGTTTGACGATCTAAGAGCTGAGACAGTTCGTTCGCAGAATCTGACGGAGGCCCTCCTCTCTGTTCTTCCAGTGTAACTGCTCCCGCAGATACATGTGAATTGGCATACACAATTGGAGGTAACATGTGAGAGGTACTTGTCAAACTTTGACTGCACCAGTGAGGAGGTTGTGCGGGATAGAGAGATTATGTGCATGTGACCACATGGGTGATTAATTGATTGATTTATTGAAAGAGCTTGATTTGATTTGATTATTTGAGTTCGTTTTCTTTTATCCATATGCGTGTCATAATGTCTGGGCGTATGTGTAGATGATTATATCGCAGATTTATTCGATTCAATGTTGTTACACAGTTAACTGTTTCACACATCACGCGTGAATCAATTCTGTGAATGCCATTCTATAACGTAAAGGATATAATATATAATTTGGATTGTTTTTGATGTAGCTGTGTTCTCTGAGCTTTCATTGCCGTACTTCAAATTGAAGTATGAGCTGAAAATATTGCCCAGCAGGGCAATGAAAACTTTGCAAAAATACCATCCAGCTCAGAGAACCGAACTACATAAAAATCATCCACAAATATTCTCCATTAGATAAGAATTCTGTTGAGCCGTGTGAAGATTTGATACACGGTACTGATGACAATCATTCCTAGATCTTTAATATGTAGGATGAAAATTTAGAGTAATAGGAATCCTTTCATGTCGGCCTCTATATCAAATATTGCGAATTATGGCTATATGTCACCGTGTAGATTCCTATTCAGGCACCAGTTTACTACATTTCTTATGTTCTCTTGATTGTCGACAATTCTGTTATTAACGCACCTAGAACGTGCTCCTTAAATATTGTTATCGATGGAATCCACTTCCATTGAATTCTGAAGCAGTATAATGTAGACATTTCGTCACAAGGAATATCCTATCAAAGTGAAACACGGTGAAACTAATATTGAGAATAATCACAAGTAAAAGACTTAACCAACGAAGGGTCAATTTGTGTTTTAAATGTCTTTATATATTCTTGTAGCAAAATATGATTCTCGAACTCTCATTATATGTGTTCTCCGCCATGTAGAGAGGAGTGGTAAGAGGGCTCCAGTGACGAATGACGCCAAGGAGAAGGAGACGAACAAGAATAAGAAATAGATCGGCTTTTGTGTCACATCTTCCAAGAGTGGTGAACTGAAGCAACGAGTATGATTGTAGAATTATTCTTAAAAAATGAAGTGATGTATGTATACAAATAATAAATGAATGACAGTCAGCCACCTTCATGTGTCTTTTCCTTCTTATCGAATCGATGAGAAGTGTACCTCATTCCATGTGATATATTCTTATACGTGCTTGAAGTAGTATATTGATAATCCCTACTTTATTTGTATGCCTGCGTGTGCATTCTGTGATTAGAACTGATTTAGGGTCTTGATGATTCATGACATTTTCTTCTCGTTAATCTCTTCTTCATCTTTCTTCACATTCTCTTACCTTTGTCATTGTCGCTGGAGAATTTAACCAGTGAAACACCCTTCATATTCTCTTCACATCATCTTTCCGATATCGTTATGAAAATGGCATTATCCACAATTCTCAATCGCCCCTGTTGCATACAGTGAAGTGCAATGCAACGACATACTTGAGAACTTGTCAAGGTAAGCATCAGGGAGATGAAAATAAGAAGAACAATTCAGTATAAAATAACCATTCTAAATTATTCAGCATTATACTACAGACACCCCCATTCGCACTGCAGCGGTAAACAACAAAATCAACTAGCTAATTGATGAGTAGTGACTTGCAGTGGTATATAGGATGCGCATTTCGTCCTATTAAGGACTCGTCACTGGGTGTACCTGCACTCCTCAGTGAGTGATGATGTTACCACCGAGAAACAAGAGTAGGTTCTCGCGGCCCTAAAGGTCTAGCGGATAACGCATTGGCGTTTGAAACTATGGACATTGGCTTCGAGCGTTGGTGATAACATCATCACTCGCTGAGGAATGCAGGTACATCCAGTGGCTGACAAGTCCCAAATAGGACGAAATGTGCAACCTGAATTTCACTGCTAGTCACTATCCACCAGTTAACTTCTAATTACATGCCCAGACATCGTCAAAACATCTGCACAAGAAGCCGATATGTCAACCTAAGACCGAGCACTTCAGTCCAATCAATCGACGGGAAAATCTTAAATTGAATAAAAAAATCAATTCGTGTCTAGATATAACTGAATGAGGGAAGGATTCTATCAGAAATTGTCGAATGACGGTTGATGAAATATTGGAAAACAAATAGTAACACGTAGAAATATCATTCAACATAGAAGTCAATTAAAACTGATTCACACCAGAATGTCTACTTAATTATTATTATTTCCTTTAATTCCTAGGGGAACATATGGTTTCAGCCGCAAGTCTCCATTTCGTTCGGTTCTCTGCCAACGTTTTCAACTGGCTTCACGTCTGCCCACATGCTTTCACCTCCTCTCCCCATGACCTCCTTTAAGTCACCCTTGGACGACCAACTCGCCGCTCCCCTTTCGGGTTCCACTCGACGGCTTGTGTAGTGATGTTACTTAATGGTTTCTTCAGAGTATGGCCAATCCACCTCCATTTCTTCTTGCCTATTCGTTTTACAATCGGTTCCTGGTTGATTTACTCCTAGAGATCCCTGTTGCTGCTCTTTTCTGGCTATCTGATGTTGAGTGTTAAGCATAGACAGTTGTTGAATAAGGTCTGTAGTTTGTTTGAGGTGCTCTTCATGATGCGCTAAGTCTCTGATCCATAAAGTGACACTAATTTCACATTGTAGTTGAAAATCCGGACCTTATTTTTCATTCTGAGGTGTGCTGTTGACCTCCACACAGACTTTAGAGTAATGGAAGCTTACTTTGCTTTCCCGATCCTTGCTTTGATATCCTCGTCAGTTCCGCCTGTAGTTGAAACGATGCTTACTAGGTAGGTAAAGGAGGTAGTTTCTTACTTAAGGTAGTTTCTACTTAATTACACCTTTATGATCAGTTGGTTTGATGCAATAGTGAAGAAATAAGCATATCAACTAGAAGGTCACAAAGTAGGCAGAGTTACAATCAAGAATTTAAACAAACACACAAAGTTCATGTTAAAGTCAGCGCCAAAAGTGTTGAAAGCTTCACAATTTAACCCCATACAGCACAAAACATAAGACAGAATGTTTAGGGTGGCTGATTTATCCTAATTTCTTGTACTTTAATCAGTGAACATTACAGCAAGGTCAATCAATCCAAAATGGTGATCTG